CTTTATTCCCATGTGAAAGAATCTGCTAAATGCATATTAGAAACAAACTAAACAGATAGTTTACCCTTTATTTTTTCACATCCAGGTGCTCACAGGAAATATTCAGTGGGTGGCTATTGACAAGGGAGCAAACAGAAATAATTTGAGGCTCAGAATTCGTTATAACACATGCTAGAACTAGATTGAAACACAAATAAGGACATTTTTCTATTTATGTTCCTCCTAGTTTTCCTATCTTGTACTTGGGAAACTCCTCCTCAAAAAATGCCTCTTGCTGACCTTAATAGTGTTTTACTGAGCAGTTCTATTAGTTTAAATTCCTCTCTTATGGACCATTGAATGTCTTATGGTCAATAGTTTGATTGCTGTTGCCTTGCTGCATATAAAAGGAACTCTACATGCTTTTAGGGAGCTGAAAGGAGTTCTGAAATTCACATAAATGGAACCAAATTAAGGTTGCATATAGGGCTTTAATTTGTATTTTGTTTTTCATTCTAAAGGTCTAAATCTGTTAGTTATCATCTCTAGTGATTAGTCATTATCTCAGTGAGCATTTTGTAATTTGTGTCTGTGAAACATTGTATTAATACACTCATTTTTAGGCAGTGCTTTGCTATTCTAGAGAAAAATGTCCTAAAGGACAACTTTTATCTTAAGAAATTTTTGTAGATAATTGTACTATAGTAGTGCCCATGTGTCCATTTCATTTAATGATGACTTGTTCATCTCTTTCTAATACTTTGCAGATCATTTGTTCTGTAAATTTCATCAGTATATCTGGAATTCCTTGGGTTTTGACATAAAAAGATTCTGTGTCATTTCCACAGTACCCAAAGTCAGCCTTAAGCCAATTAGATTAACCTAAAACTGTGGCTGCTATATACACTAAATTCAGTTCATCTCAAGATGAGAAAAAGAAGTAATTTCCATTTTATTTAAAAAAAAAAAGGTGAATTTGAAGACATATTTTTGTATCTCTGATCCTGTAGAGAGTGGTCCTTTAGTAACTGAAGGTCCCACCAGCGCATTTGTATATGTTACTGATGGACCACTCTCTACTATAGGACCAGAGATATCAAAACCTGTTGTACAATTTGCAATTCTTAATTTAATTTAAATGGAAATTTCTTACATATCCTATATTGGAAATTAAGAGATTGGGACTCTAGCCTTGTATTTGCCTTCAGCAGCATGCTTTAGGAAGTGGATTTCCCCAGACTAACTTGTGTTTACACACCCAAGTTTGTTCTCCCAGGTTCTAGAAGAAATCCCATGCAGTAGTGCTTTAGCTTACTTCTGAGAACACTTGTTCTGTAGCTTCCCTCCAGAATCGTTTACTAGGGAGACTTTTCTATCCAATGCAAAGACTGAAATTATTTCTAAGGGTAACACTTTACCTCAGTGTCTTGACTTAAAAATTCAGCTAGTTCAATAGCATATGATGAGGTGGCTGAGTTTAGCTGAGCTTCAGGAATTTCGAGTAGTCACTCTATCTTTTAAAAATTTTTTAGTCATCTCTATCACAAGGATTTTTTCAGTCATGTCTTCTTAGCTTCTTTTTTCCTCACCTAAGTCACAATCTATAAATGCTTGGCAGTTGATGAAAGGCCAAAAAGTCTGTCGTTCCATGTGAGCACAAGTACATTGCTGGTACAGGTCTTCCGAAGAGATGCTCTCACATTGTCCATGAATATTTGTTCAATTATGACTTCTAGTCACTGCTGCTGAAGGGACTGTGTAGGGTTTTTTTGCTCTTGATCACTGCTTTTGACAGATTCAGCCTTCATTTTTTGAAAATTCCACTCCTAAATCCTTGATACTAAAACAATGTTTGTATTTACTAAAACCATTTTCTTTGCTTCATTTATTACAGTCAATATAGTTACCTAAAAGCTCAGTCTCTCTGTTGTTCTTAAAACTGCTTTGAAGATAAAATTAATCTTCTTAGAATTATTAAAAATTGAAAGAAAAAGAGCATGTTGATTTTCACTTTATCTTTTGAGCTTTCAATTGCAAATGGGTCTGTGTGGTTTTGCAAAGTAACAGTTCTTTGATTATATACTTTCAATTTGTTACCATGGTAAATTTTGATCTCTGAGTTGTGGTCCCTGATCAGATCTGAACTTGCTTGTAAAGTCTTAGAGGAAGAAAAAAAAGAACCCCAAATCCCCTAAACCAAAACAAAATCATTGCACAATCATTCTGGCTGCAGGTAGTTGCATGGTTTTTTTAAAGAAATATATCTATGCATTTAAAGAAGACAGCTGTAATTACAAGAGATTATTGATTCTCTGTCATGGTCCACATGTGAGCTCACAAAACTGGAGTAGCTAACAGCTGGACCTCAGGGAATCAAAAATGCAGTGTGTTTTAAAGACTCATTGGTGACCAAAAGTGTTCATTAGATGGGAGCAATTGGTTTTGACATGAGTCACAAAGGGCAAGTCATCCTGTCAAAATTTTCTTCATCTTTTGTGGATGAGAACTGCAGTCATCTAAGTTGCTGTCATCTACAAGTAATGTGGTAAATTCGGGCCAGAAGTCATTAGTAACTGAATACTTACAGTGGTTTGCCTTAAGTCACTTCAGTGCTTCTCATCACCTTTCCACCCTTCCCCTTTGTCAGTGATTTAAGCTCAAGCAGCATAATTGAAAATAAATTCTTGAAGGTACTCTGCTAATGCCCAGAAGAATTGCAGTATTTGTCAATATGTGAGAAGGTGAATTTGGTTCCTCATATTTACCTTTTCCCAGGCTGGTATGGGGACAGAATTGACCCATACCTGTCAGCATGAATAAACAAGTCAATGACTTGGATCAAAATCCGAGTAGTTAATAGTAATTAAATTTGTTTCCTCTGATGTGTGGGAAAGAATAACCAAGATCTCCAGAAACAGCAGACACTTTAGTGCCAAGCCACAAAGCATTAAGGCACCTGTAAAATTCTAGGAGAGACTAATCTTCCTATTGACATGCAGATTTACTTGATTATTTGGTTTGTAGCAGTCCTTTATGGTGTCTTTAGATTGTTTAAGTTCTACGTAACAGTCAGTGGGTATGGAGCTTCATGAGGGTTGATCAGTGGTCAAATCACCTCCTGGTGAAGTTTGTTTTGAGGAAGTGCAGGTCCCTGGCTTTTCTAAGCACATAGAACAGGGGTTGTCACAAGCAGGATTAAACATAGCAGCTATCCCAGTTCTGTCACTGGTGTTACTGTAGTTTTTTGACAACTGTGTACTAAATGATTCTTAATTACCAAGTCTTGGTGTGAAAACATGCAAGACTCATTGTTAGCAAAGTTAGTGAAATAATATAAAGCAGCACGCTACGCTTTGTAGTGTGATGCATCACACCTTTTGTATGCTTGTGGTTAAGGCATGTCAAGGTAAATTAATTTCAACAGATGTCTTATAAAAACTTCAGGAAATCTGGAGGTATATTTGAAACTCAGATGTTTCCCAGACACTGCATCTTGGTTTTGGCCTAAGTTTATAAAAGTTTGTAATACATTTTGTTATTTAACGTCAATGCAAATATTCTTTCATCAAACTATATATGGTAAAGCCTTAGTTGTGGCCACATTCTCAGTTTGCTACTCAATAAAATTAGAAAAAACCTTCATGAGCAGAGCTTTTCAGCCATAACTAAATGGCACGAGAAAAAAAAAGAGTCTGAAGAACAGGAAGAGCAAAGCACAAACATGGCTAACAAATTGGCATAATTGGAGGAAAGCAAAGTTCAAGACGGGTAAGGTAAAACCTGCCATTTCTTGTGTTGTTTTTGCTACAAGCCATAAATATCTCTTTGGATATACTCAAAACTCAACTGGACAAAGCCTTGAGCCAAATTCAATGTTGGCCTTGCTTTGAGCAGGGGATGCATCTGATGGACCTCAGGGTCCTTTCCAATTAGACCATTTTGTGATCCCATGTAAGCTGCAGGGGTGGTAGATACAGAACTAACTTCTGTTTGCAGGAGGTACAGAGGTACGGTAACTGAGGTGCAAGGCTGCTGACGTTACAAGCTGCTACAGAGACAAACAATTAGGTCATTGTCGGAGTTCTGATAGAGATGTGATTTTGTCGCTTACTAGCTGGAAAGGCAAAGGAAAAAAGTATCTCTTCTGCAACCTGTATTATACAGGGTGGATCCAGAATCAATTGTTGATCTTTGTCCGTTTTGTTTTACATAAACCTGTCTTCTAAATGAATGTGCTGCTAGCTGGTTTTGCTTTATATCCTGGGGTGCATCAAACACAGCATGACCAGCCGGTCAAAAGAGGTGATTGTCCCGTTGTATTCAGCATTGGTGCAGCCTCACCTGGAGTGCTGTGTGCAGTTCTGGGCCCCACAATTTAAGAAGGGTGTGAAGGTCCTTGAATGCGTCCAGAGGAGGGCAACAAAGCTGGTGAAAGGGCTGGAAGGAATGTCCTGTGAGGAGCAGCTGAGGACTTTGGGCTTGTCTAGTTTGGAGAAGAGGAGGCTGAGGGGTGACCTCATTGCTCTCTGCAGCTTCCTGAGGAGGGGACGTGGAGAGGGAGGTGCTGAGCTCTTCTCCCTCTCCAGTGATAGGACGTGTGGGAACAGTTCAAGTCTGCACCACGGAAAGTTCATTAGGAAGCATTTCTTTACTGAGAGGGTGGTCAAACACTGGAACAGGCTTCCTAGAGAGGTGGTCGATGCCCCAAGCCTGTCAGTGTTTAAGAGGCATTTGGACAATGCCCTTAATAACATGCTTTAACTTGGTCAGCCCTGAATTGGTCAGGCAGTTGGACTAGGTGATCGTTGTTGGTCCCTTCCAACTGAAATAGTCTTACTCTATTCTATTCTATTCTAATTCTATTCTATTCTGTTTTCATACGGGGTTTCACAGAAAGAAGAAATAATTTATCTAATGGGTATTAGTTTTAAGTTGTGTATTATTTCTGTTATTTTCTAATTGTCAGTAGCTTTCTCTTTTAAGTTACTTCTAGCACTGGAAACAAACATATAGAAGGAAAAATGGATCCCTTTTTTTGGTCATCAGAAACTAACAGCTTTCGACGTTTCACCCCTGAGTCTTTGGCAGCAATCGAGGAAAGAATTGCTAAGAAAAAAAAGCAGCAAACCAAAGTTAACCGGGAGAATAAGGACCAAGGAGTTGAAGAAGATAAACTTACTCCTCAGCTTGATCTGAAAACCTGCAAAAAACTGCCATCTCTGTACGGGGATATTCCTGTGGAGCTCATTGGGGAACCCCTGGAAGATTTTGATCCATACTACAGTGATCACAAGGTTAAAACTTTCAAAAGCTTTTTTTATTTAATTTTGTCTGCTGAGATAGTAAAAGCTCCATTCAGGAGATGCTGGTTTTTGATTGTTCTGTAGACAGATCTTCAAACATTACTAGCGTTTTTTGGGGCGGGAGTGCTAAGGTATGCTCCACATTATGTAATGAAAATGTAATTTAAGTGCTAGTCAGCAATCAGAATTAATTATGAAAACATGATCACTTGATGGATACACTTTGATAGGAAATATATTCTGGGATAACTGATGCTTTGTTTTTCAGAGCAGTTTCTGTGATGTCTGTGGGGCTGAACTCACTGTTGTATAAACAGTGCCTGTCAAACAGTAGATCACACTGGAATTGCTGATTTACTGCGGATGTTTTTGCTGAATTAAAAATACTATACAAATTAGGGAGATATATTTGATATATTTCCAGTACTCTGTGTAGCAAAAGCATATATTTTCATTATAGTAAATTAATTTGCTGTTATTTTATGTCTCATGAGCTTTGTTTATTGTACCATATTTATATTGCATATACTCCACGCTATTGCAATGTGTTTTGTGTTGTTGCCTATAGAAGTGTGTAAAGTAGGTGCTCTAGGAATCACTTCTAAATGAAATGTCTACTGTATGATTGCTTACTATTGAGGGGGACTTGACCTGAAGAGCAGCAGGTTCCATCCAATCCTATGTTGCTGTCTTTTATGTATACCAGCAAGTCACTGGAATATAATAATTTAATCAGAGAACACGCAGAAAGCTTTGTTCTTCCAGAGATCTTTTTTCTCAAAGTAATCAAAGTGATGTTCTTGATGAAGAGAAACTAAGGCTGATTCAGTTGAAAAAATTTAGATAAAAGTTAGTGAACCGTGTTTTTGATTTAAGAAATTTCATTTTCACTTCATGTGGCAAAAGTACTGAGCTGCGTGGACCTTAAGGTAGCTTAGAGGGAATTTACAGTGTTACCTGATAATTTAAAGATATTTCAAAATGAAAATTTTTGGTTTAACTGGCCTGGATTCTGGCAGTCCTACACAATATGTATTTTGTAATTAATCTTTTGTAGCCTATAAAACTGTCCAAGAGTAAGGTACTTTTGAGTATGACTAACATCACTGTTGCAGTCCCAGAATAGTATCCTTTAATTGCTTTGACCAAGTGAATATGATCACTTGCTCTTCAAATTCATTCCCAGTACTACTTCTTCCTCACAGGCAATAATGAACTTTTATATAGCTGGTGTCTTTCTTTCAAAATGTAGCATCATCAGGTCACAGCTCCAAGTAAGAATACAGGAAAGCTTTACTTGTAATTGCAGTTAGATATAGTTCTAGATGCAGATTTGAAAACCTAAACATTTAATTTTGGGGGAGAATTTTGCTTCATTAAAATATTTCATATACTATGAATCTTTTTTTTAATAGACTTTTATGGTGATAAATAAAACGAGGACTATTTTCCGTTTTACTGCCACGCCTGCCTTGTGTATAGTTGGTCCTTTTAATCCAGTCAGAAAAGCAGCAATTAAAATTCTGATCCATTCATATCCTTTTATTGGCTTCCCTTATTTCAGTTTTAAAATATACTGTACCATTTTCTGTCGTTCTGTTCATATTAATGTAAATGTAAACTCATGTGGCTGTGACAGAGATTTTTCAAAAGTTGTATTGAATCTTGCTTTACAACAGCTAAGATATTTACATGGTGTTGGTACAAGTAAAAATGTCAAAAAGCTCATATTTAAAGTCAGTTTTGCAGATACTGTTATGAAACAACATTTAGAGGCTACTGTATGATATTTAGCCCTTTTCCAGAACTACTTCTAAATCTCTACTGTGGTGACAAGCTTAAATTTTAGAAAAAAAATCTAAACAGTGACTCCCTAGTTATTAAAATGTGAAGGATGTGATTTATGACAATGCTTTGCTGAAAGATTCTGATGTTATCCTAAGAAATGTATTTCACACTCAAGTTTAGAAAGTTCTGAAGAGCACCCATTTTTTATGTTTTTGCAAAAATATAAACGTAGTTTGAAGAATGTAAAAATGTGAAGGATCGCAGGTGCAAAACCATAGGCTGAGTAGTTTTTTCTCTTTTTACTAAACATCTGTTTTCATTTGGAATTATTAATTTGTAGAAATAGGTCCTTTTATGGGAACTTATGGCTGACTTTGAATGCATATTCATGCTATTAGAAATTACCAAATTTGCTGTTCAGTTTCAAATAAACCCTAAATTTAAGCCCAATGTTTGTTTTAAAAAACACCCACTTCTATTAGGTGACAAGTGAACTTTCACGGAAGGATGGTTTTTCTTATGTATGTTTTCATCGCCTGCCACATAAAATGGGAAAGTTTTCTGAACTCATGGCAGAGCATAGGTGTAAGAAGGTATGTATGGACTCCCAGTTTCAAAGAACACTGGTTATTGATAATTAAGCTTTTTCATCTGGTTTTCCTAGGCTTAAAAACCCTAGTTATTATGGGATTGTGGCCCATTTCTCTTTATTCCATGCTCCTGCTGGGAAGAAATGGAGGTTTCTGAAGTATCAAATAACAGTAGACAGCAGAGGACTCAGATTTTTTTCATTTATTTATGTTCCTCATCTCTCCTGTAAAGATATTGTGTCCCACTAATGTCCTAGCTTCCAAAACTATCTCTACATGCAGATAATTCATTGTTATTTTTAAACCATGACTTTACCCAGCTGAGCAGATGTTTGATCTGACATCAGTTTCTTTGGAAAACACATGAAAAGTCCTGAGCATATTCAAAACCAAAGTAGTTACTTGAATATCTGTATGGTTTTTTGTGTGTAAATCAGAAACTTTTCTGAACTTCATTGTTTGATAATATAGCACTTTTTCCTTAACTTATTATTCACATTATTTGTTGGCTTTATTACATGTACTGTGGTACTCAATTGTGCTTCCATGGCCATAAATAAGCTTCCAGAAGCACTCAACTGGACTGAGTAAGTATCTCAGTTGCCATTTGTTCACACTTTTTCTGAGGATACTAGCATGCTGGACTGAAAAATTTATATAATGTGGTGATCTAATTCTGGGGCTTGAAAATTCTCAGACAGACATCTGAGGAAGATTTAGGATTATTATTATTGTATCACGTGGTCTTCTGTGGAGCTTCAGTGCCTTTTCTTAGAGGTTTACACCATATGCTCTTTTCTCTACATTGGCTAATTTTGCCATCTGGTGTCACATAGAATGTTGCCCCATTTTTCCTTTTAAGGATTAAGCCTTTTAGAGAGACTGTGCAGCAGGATTCTAACTTAATATCTCTCATTCTAAGGCAATAACCTGAATGTCTGTTGTAGCTGGCTCATGCAAAAAGTATAAAGGGATAAATATTCATTCCATTCTTTCTTGCTGTTTCCTGGGGATGCTCCTGGTTCAGTTGTTCACATTAGGAAGTCATCTATTTATAATGTCTTGTTACCTTTTGTAATTGTGCACTGTATCCAGTGTAACTTGAATTAATGTTCTAGAATTGAATCTTGAAAAAGTGCCTGGAGCTTCAGAGGTTCTATAACTTTAATTCCTCTTATTTTGGGGTAAGCATGGTGAGAATGATAGCTTAATTTTATGTAGGATTTCTTTCAGTTATAGAGTATTTGTCAGAATAAATTTATAAAATGTGCAAACTTTACAGGCTAAAATAAGTCTTTGCTGTTATTATTCTGCCAAAATGTTGAGGCTTTGGAATTTTCCAGACTGCTTTAGAACATAAACACAGTCTTAAAATTTTTTCATAAGGAAGTGTGAGCTATCCTGCATCCAGAAATAGTATAGTATGCTTATGTGAACATTTGTGATTATAGATTTACATGGAAAGCTTACTAAAATTCAGGAAGGCATCTTCTTATACCTATGATGTTTCTGAAAGTAATGTAACCTATCCTATTTTACTTCACATTTTCTGCCTTCATCTCCATCTGGTGACTAAATCATAGAAAAGGTAGAAATGTGCCTGAATGTGTCTCAATCTCATTAATATTTTTATTTCTATAACTTTAATATACACTTGCCTTCTCAGATATCTTTTTACTGGCATATATACTGGTGAAATATTGATAAAAATATTAGCAAGAGGATTTGTTTGGAATGAATTTACCTTTCTTCGAGATCCATGGAACTGCTTGGATCTTGTCGTTACTGTCATAATGTAAGTAAAACTCAGTTGTTCTTTTATACTCAAGGGACAAACACGCAGATAAAATGCTATTTGATATTGCTGAAGTTCTTTAGAGCGGTTGGCATCCTACCTGCTTAAGAGTTACTGTGGTTGAATCACCCTTTGCATATCTGCAAAGAGAAAAATAGTCGTAGACCTTAAAGCAAGATCTAAAAGCAAAGCTCATCTTAGAACTATTTGATTGTTCTCAATTTAGTAAGTATTTAAATTTTGTTAAGAGGTGATTGCATAGACAGCCGAAACCAAGCATGCCTCTTTATATTGTCTTAGTTGTACTCTGGATCAGATGAAACTCATCTGAGAAGGATCCAAAGTGGGTCACAAGATGTTGAATGACATGGTGACAAATAGCAGATGAAGTCCCAAGAATGTAAAGTGACGCTCAAGGGAAAACAGAGCTAGCTTTACATACACAGTTATGGGCTCTGAAATAACTTTCTCTTGTTGGGAAGATGATGTTGGAGTTAAAAGAGACAATCTTGTGAAAACACCACTCCAGTGTGCAATCATGGTCAGAGAAGGAAATAGAAAATGAGGACGTTATGGGTAAGAAATAAAGAAAGAAGCAGAACACATAGTTATTTCACTGTGTGGCCTGTGTTTTTCTTCAGGACTATATGTAGTTTTGTTCCTGACATCTCAAAAGATTACAGAATTTAAAAAGATATAGGGAAGGTGTATATCTTGTATGTCACATAGTAAGAAACTAAATAAAGTAGAACTCTCATGAAAAAAGTACAGAGCAGGAACATGGTTGAAGTCTGTGGCACAGAGCCAAAAAGAGAATAAATAATTTATATTTTTCTCCTGCAACGAGAGCTAAAGGCGCCAACTGAAGTTGTCAGATGGCAGAATAAAAAAGAAGGGAGTAGTTTTTCACACTACATGTAGGCATATTCCCATCGGAGGTTGTGGATGCAAAAAACTTAGCTGCATTCAGAAGGCTTTCTGGACAAAATCCTGGATGAAAACACATTAAGGGTTATTTTTAACACAAACATACTATGTCTTGTTCAGGAAGTCCCTGAGTTATAAATTTGCTGGAAAAATTAAATCTGGGAAGCATCACTGCTGTGATTCTAAACTCCCTTGTAAGTATCTCTTGTGGGTCATTCTTGAAGACAGGGTAATAGGCCAGATGGATCACTGCTGCGGTCAATTTTAAATTCATATCGAAACCAACTAGTGAGGTGGACAATAAATGAGGAAGAAACCAAGTCAGAATTTGCATCTCAAATACAGAATGTTAATCCTGAAAGCAAAATAGTCTTACTTGCAGCAGTGAACAGATTCACTCATGCCCAGTCTCAGCTTTCAAAGCAAATCTTGTCATTTAGCATTTCTGAATAAGTTTTCAGTTGTCTTGTTCTAATTTATTAGAGGTGTAAAGTAGTTTAGATTGGAAGGGACCTCTGGAGATCATGTGGTCCAGCTCCATGCTAAAAGCAGGACTAATTTAGATTAGGTTGCTCCAGTTAAGTTCTGAGTTTCTCTAAGCATGGAGATTCAACAATTTTCTGAGCAACCCATTCCAACCACATTGTGGGTTTTTTTTCCTCGCAAATTTCTAATTGAAATGTCTTGTGTAGCAACTTATGTCTGCTGCCTCTCATCCTTTCATGGTGAGCTTCCAAGAACAGCCTGGCTCCATCTTCTCTAAGCCCTTACACTGGGCAGCTGAAGACAGCAATAAGATTCCTGCTCCATCACCCCATTATCCTGCTCTTCCTCAGATTCAATAAAACCAATCCAGCCTAACAATTTAACGATGTAATTGTCTTACTGGCCCCCCTTAGAGCCCTGAATTGGACCTGCTCCAGTATGTAGAGTGTCTTTCTTGCCCTGGAGAGCCCAAAGCTGGACACAGTACTCCAGATTCAGTCTCAGAAATCACTTCCTTCAATGTGTGCGCTAGACTCCTCAACATATGAGCTAGACTCATGCTAATCTAGCCCAATACATGACAGGCGTTCCGTGTCACAAGGGTGCTCTGCTCATTCATGTTCAGTTTGTCTGCCCTGACCTCAGGTCCTTTTCTGCAAAGCTGCCCCTTATATTATCCAGTCTGCCCTCAGCTCCTACTTGTGGTCATGCTGACTCAGGTGCAAGACTTTGCCTTTGCTTTTGCTGAACTTCGTGAGGTTTCTACAGCCCATAACTCCAGTCTGTCAAGCTCACTCTGCAGAGCAGCCTTACCACCCAGTGTATTGACTGCTCCCTGCCCCAGTTTAGTATTTGTGAACTTGCCGAAGGCAAACTCTATTCCATTCTTCAGGATGTTAATGAAATTGTTAAACAATATTGGCCCCAGCCAGGACTGACCCATGAGGGGTGGCACTAGTAACCAACTGCCAGCTGAACTTTGTGCCTTTTTTCAGAGCAAATAGATGCCTGGATAATATGTCACTTCCACAGACTTTGACACTAGACCTGGGGACGTGGGAGGCCTGAGGGCAGACCTCACTGGTAAAGACCAAATCAAGGCAGTATTGGGTAGTTTCAGCTTTTGCATCTCCTTTGTCACTAGGTTTGTCAACAGACCCACAGTTTCCGTAGTCATCTTTCACTGCTGATGTACTTAAAGTAGCCTTTCTTGTCACCCTTCACATCCCTTGCTAACTTCAACTTCAGCTGAACTTCGTCTTTCCTTGCTTCACCCCTGCATGTTTGGCAATGTCTTAGTGTCCCTTCCCAGAACTACCTCTGCTTCAACCTTCTGCACACTTCCTTTTTGAATACATGAGATTATTCAGGAGCTCCCTGTTCAGACAAGCTGGTTTTCTGCCATATCCGCTTGACTTTCTGCAGAGTAGAGTGCGTCGTTCCTGTGCTTCGAAGAAACTACCCTTGAAGATCAACCAGCTGTTCTGGGGGCCACTTTTCCCTTTGGGGCAGTTTCAGATCCCTGAACGTGCTGAAATCTGCTGTCCTAAAGTCCAAGATTTTATTCTGCGGTTCATCTTGCTTACTTCTCTTGGGGTCTTAAACACCACCATCTCATGGGCTCTGTAGCAAAGGCTGCCATCAGCTGTCACATCCCTGACTGGTTTTTTCTTATTTGTAAATAATAGGTTCTGTACTCATATGTTGTCGGACGCATATAAATGTGTATGAACAAAGTATTCTTATGGGTAATCTATAAACCACTAAGGAGCTTTCACATTGTTAATCATCAGTAACTATGAAGTAGTCCAGCAGCTTTATGAACAATTTCATTTTATGGTCCTACTTCCCTACCCATACTCCTAATTCATTTGTGTTTAAGCAGATATAAGCACTGTGCAATATAGTATCTCCTGTTTTTTTGGGTCTTATTATGCAACAAATAAAAGTATTTGGAAATTAACTCAACAGTTAACTCAAGTGCAGTTATTACTTAAGGTACTTGGGAATTATTTAATCTTACAGGTTAGGCAAAGCCATAGTGTTCTTATCTATTGCTGACAAAAGTCATGCTTTGAATGGGAGGTTGCGTAGATCACCTCCAGAGGTCCTTTCAAACCAATGTTTCTCAGATTCTGTTATTGAGACTTTTTATTTTAAAGAATTCTGTTACCAGTTATGACCTTATCATAAGATGAGTCACAATTCATATCCATTCTGACATGAAAGAAGTCTTATAAAATATGGGGTAACCTGTTAAAGTGCTGTATAGAATATGCAACTCTTAAAATCCTCATTTTCAGAGATTTTCAAATTGTTGAAACAATTAAATTGAAACTAGTTTCAATACTCAAGTTCTTACCTGTCTGTTAAATGAAAGTTAGAAAGACAGCCATGTGGTACAGGATTAACATATTGTAAACCTAGTTTTGCTCAATTCCCTCCTCCTAAAGTATATATTATGTAGTTTTGAGATAGCTACAACATATACTTTCATGTAATCTAAATCAGATTAGCCTCAGTATGAGAGGGTTTTATATTTATTTGACATTTTGATGAATAAACACTTCAAAAGTTAAGCATCCAAATCCACACTAAGTAAAAACTTCCTGTGTTTCTTTTCAGAGGCACTATTCAGAAGTCTCATTATTTTATATCAATACCTAGAAATGGACTTAGATTCCTAAGTTTAGGCATCTACCTTAGGACATATTTGACCTATTTATTTTCTGTAACTTATTCATTACTGTGTGCTCAATATGCATATGCTCTGAAAAGCTAGATCTTTGTCATTCAGTTATTTGGTGGTCTAATTTTATAGGTATGTTACTATGTTTAAAAGTACATACAAGGTTTCAGCTCTTCGAACTTTCAGAGTACTGAGGACTTTGAAAGCTATTTCAGTAATACCAGGTAAGGAACAACATGTTTTACTAATTTTCTCTCCGCTTCAGCAGTATTTTTGTAAGTTGTGCCACTGATTAGGATACCAAAGTATGGATTTCAGAATCTAACTGCAAAAACTCATTTGAAAATCTATAAATGACTATATATCCTACTGTCATAATATATATTAACTTTACCATTTCTATGTAATTACAACTATATTTTTGATTTTGCTATGGAATTGTAACAGGAATTAAACATAGGACGTGTTTAGTTTTTAATGTCAAAACCACCCATCAATACTTTTCCTTTCATATTCACCATGGAGAACAGAGATTAAATGTAATTTTACTTATGAAAGATTTCTAGAAAAATCCTGGTTATCACTCTCTACCTATGTCATATTTCAAATTCAGTTATTCTGCCAGAATATTGGTCTTCAGTTTATATATTACCCATTTTCACAGTCACAGAATGGTTGAGGTTGGGAGGGACCTCTGGAGATCATCTAGTCTAACCTCCTGCTCAAGCAGGGACACCTGGAGCTGGGTTGCCCAGGACCATGTCCAGATGGCTTTTGAGTATCTCCGAGGATGGAGACTCCACAACCTCCCTGGGCAACCTGTGCCAGTGCTCAGTCACCCTCACAGAAGAAAAGTGTTTCCTGATGTTCAGAGGGAACCTCCTGTATTTCAGTTTGTGCCCATGGCCTCTGGTCCCGTCACTGGGCACCACTGAAAAGAGCCTGGCTCCATCCTCATTGCACCCTCCCTTCAGGTATTTATACACATTGATGAGATCCCCCCTGAGCCTTCTCTTCCCCAGGCTGAACAGTCCCAGCTCTCTCAGCCTTTCCTCATGGGAGAGGTGCTCCAGTCCCTTCATCATTGTTGTGGCCCTTTGCTGGACTCTCTCCAGCATGTCCATGTGTCTCTTGTACTGGGGAGCCCAGAACTGGACCCAGTACTCCAGATGTGGCCCCACCAGTGCTGAGCAGAGGGGAATGATCCTCTCCCTCGACCTGCTGGTAATACTTTGCCTAATGCAGCCCAGGATACCATTCGCCTTATTTGCGGCAAGGGCACATTGCTGGCTCATGTTCAACTTGGTGTCCACCAGAACTCCCAGGTCCTCTTCTGCCAAACTGCTTTCCAGCTGGGTGGTCCCTAACATATGTTTGTTCCCTTCCCAGTGTCATAAATGTTCTTTTGCTTTTAAACTGGTGACATCTGTAAGGCATTATCTTATAAGACAGAATTCCCTGAGGTCAGCAGAAGCTAACCTTTATTGTAATGTATATTTGGCACAATGTGAAGTACTTGGTTAATGTTAATCAAGCACAGAAATCTGTCCATATTCATTAAAGCTCCTAAGAGTTTGCTCAGATGCCATCTTAATTTAGAATTTTCAAGTTAGCAAAATTAGTGTTAGAAGAAAGTAAAAGCCAAATAAGTTACGATTAGAAAATTTAAGTAAAAATACTTTACTCATTCCTATGCTTTATTTTACCTCTTTTAATACTCTGAAGTTACAAAACCGTTTACACTGATTGTTTTTAACATACTTGCAACTGTTGTATATTGTCATATGGGAACGCTACTGTATTCCTCTTCTCATTTTGCGCATTATTGAATCTTATTTTTCTAGGTCTGAAAGTCATCGTAAATTCACTTATTGAATCTGTTAAGAAACTTACTGATGTGTTGATCTTGACTGTTTTTTGCTTGAGTATATTTGCTCTAATAGGCCTCCAGCTTTTTATGGGCAATTTAACATCCAAATGTGTCCTCAGTAATACTACATACAATGACATATTATGTAAGGATGCCAAGATATATGTACCAAATGATGAAGGTAAATTTTATTCTTTTCTCCCTTTGCATAATCTACATATCTTCCTATGTACGTCTTGTTTTTTCACAGAGATGTTAAACTATAGTTGCATGTATTTCTCCCAAGAAGGTATGTCCTTCCATTTGCACAAGTAGTAATATGAAGTCTCTGGGACAACTGAATGTGAGATTAGTGAATGTGGGATTTGGAGAAAGATTAGCAGTCTGTGGGTTAGAAGGGACTGAGTTTTCTATGAGCATTTGCTTCTTTACCTGTGCACATTGCACGGTGATCCTAATTGTAGGGGTACTGCACAGAGAATGATTTTTTTCCATCACTTAAGCTATATCATTCAAGGATTTTGCCTACTTCTCACGGAGATTCTTATTTTTACCGGAGATCAAATAAAATCTTATATTGTGAGTTATGCAGTTATTTTTTTTTTTTTTTAAATTGCCAAAGGGACAGATCTGCTGAAAACCAGCCCTATAAGCCCTTTGTGTGAAAGGAGTCTTTCACAGAGATTTGGTCCATCAGGCTGTTTTTTAAAGTGCAGTAATGTATGGTTTTTGGTCAGAGTGCTGTAGGAACTGACAACTTCTGATTTTATGATTCCTTGATATTTGTTTTAATAGATATCTGCTACAGAATGAATAAATCTTCTGAAATATTGCTCTGTGGGTTCAGTTCAGATCCTGAGTAAGTGACCAAAACACTTTTAGTACTTTCTTATTTTTTACTGCAGAGGAACTGTGGTTTTACTTTTGGCCTAAAGGAATGGTGATGATTTTTCAGGAGGGTGGAGTGTGTGTGTGTGTGTGTTATTAAATTAAAAAACAGATATTTCACATCAGAAAAAGAATGAAGTACTAGGATGCAAGCAATTATATATGTGCTTTGTTGCTAGCCACCGAAAATATAATGGTGATATAGAATGATATAAAGGAGGAGGGGAACAGATCAGTAAAGAGTTGTGAGGTATTAATAAACTTAGAGAATTATTTAGAAGTAAGCATATTTCCATTTTTTCCCCTCTCTACGTATTTGTTTGCATGCATCCTACCTTAGTGGAGAGTTTCTAGTTAGAAACTAGACAGAACTAGAGTTTCTGTCTAGCCTAGAATGGCTTTCTAGGATTGTCTGATATAAATCAGCCCTTCTGGCAGAATAATATTGGGGAATAATGAAACGGACTTTCAGATAAACTGAACAAATCGATATTGGATGTTGTGTACTGGATGCTTTCAGGTACAGTCTAATACTGCAAGTAAGTATTGTTTCACATTTCTTTTGTGGTTAGCAATGAGTGCCCAGAAAACTATAGCTGCAAGAAGATTGGTAAGAATCCTGACTTCGGTTATACAAGTTTTGATCATTTTGGCTGGGCCTTCCTTTCTTTATTCCGTCTGATGACACAGGATTACTGGGAGCGTCTCTACAGACAAGTAGGTACTTTTATTACTGGCTAGAATGACTTTAGACATGCAGTTTAGAGCTTTATGTCCACTAGAAAAATCTGCACCTGTTTGAACATTTGATACCATATTTCTTTTAAAATCAATGTAAATATTAAGGAAGTAGCTTCAAGTGACTAAGTTGTAACACCTTCTGCAAGTCACAGTGGATGGGAGCAATCCTGCTGTGAATGCTCATAATTTTGTTGGAGAACACATTTGGGTCAGTGATTAATAGTTAAATGTTAATATGTAACTACCAAAGGATTGGGGTATATCGTAGATCCAGCTAGTGATCTCACTGCTGCTGCAGGGGATATGAGGACTTGTTACATACTCTGTTTCTCTTCAAGTCCTTACTCCTCACCAAACCTTTTGGCTCAGCATACACACTTACATTTCAGATCATTTTTGACACCTGGTACTAAAAAAATTGGAGCCTTTATGTTTTGATTCAGAGAGTTGAATGTAACTTTTAAATTCTGTTTTTTGACAAAAATGATACAAAAATTGCATGTAGAGAACTCTGGATCCCTTACATCTATGCAGTGCCTTTGCTAGAAAGGAGTTATCCTCTGCCTTGTTCTATAGCTTTCATATGGTCCACTTTAACTTTTTTCCACCAACCTTTATTAACTAAGATTTTTTAAAAATTGATACATCTTCTTTTTGCCATTTGGAGGTCACGTGGTTTTTGGTTTTTAATGTCACAGAGCTTTGTTTTGAGCCATCTCCGATGCTGCCATTTAAAAAAATGTAAGAATAAGCAATCAGTCTAAATATTGCCTCTGATTCACTAATTATAGCATCTTTCATGATTGTTTAGATAATTCTAGCTTTCATCCTTATTACTGAGTTTTATTCATTTCTTCTGTAGTTACCCGTGTATCTCTTTACAGCTGAAGTTGTCTTCTCATAACTTAAACTCTGATGATCATTTGCCCAATTTGCTGGGAGATATTTAATTTAATTTTAAGAATGGATTTTGTTAATTCTTCTCTGCAGTACATGACATCAGTATGAATGTTTGATGGTCTGTTACATAAAGAGAAAACATTGTATGATCACAGAGAAGTTTTTAAGAGCTGAAATTTATTTACTTGAAGGCCAGGGGAACTTCTGACTAGATGTATTTCTAGACCTTCTGTATAACTTAGACCAGAGATAGATCCTACTTTTAAAGAAAACAATGCAGTATGTTGACCTTTTGTATTCTATAGGAAAATAAATTGCTTAAAGTTAGTTTGAAATTCTATTGTAAATGTTAGTTTGTTAAGAATTTATTACAACTTTTACCTTTTCCTCACAGACTATCCGTACATCTGGAAAGAGCTACGTTTTTTTTTTTCTGGGAGTCATCTTTTTATGCTCATTTTATCTCTTCAATCTGATCTTGGCTGTAGTAACTATGGCATATGAAGAGCAAAATAGAGCTACTCTTGCTGAAACAGAGGCAAAGGAAAAATTACTTCAGGATGCCAAACAAATTCTAGAGAAAGAACAGGTTTGTAAATTATTATATATAATATATGGTTCCTTTTGTTTTCTTCTGTTTGTGAATTAGGGAAATAAGGTTTTTAATTAAACATGTGCTTCTTACAATACTTTCTCACACTTCACTTCTCTTTCTTTCTGTCTCTTTATA